AAAAAAAAAAAAAAAAAAGAGGATTGTAGGGCCTTAGGTCTGACCATGTTGACCATGTACCAGAAAACACCAGAAGATATCCTATCCTGCCTTTTGAATTCTTCTTATGTAGGTCTCAGTTTTTTCCAATTTCCACCTCCAGCTGACTGGAAAAACTAATCAATGGCCAGGGAGTATCTGGCTTCCATATTGTTTAATGCTCTTGCAACTTTCAACATTTTAAAACAGAAATTTGATAAGATACACAAGCACAATAGTAAAATAAGGAGTTAAAACCTTAATGTAGAAAGAAGGCACAAGAAGAAAAAAATACCTATTTTCTTAAGGCAAATGAACTTATGAGATAATATTCAGCTTGGTCATTAAATGGACTGGAAATCTGTTAGCCAATGAAAGGGGGGAGAATTCGAAGGATTTGTGGGATGTCTATCAACTGTGTAGAAATCAGAGAAATGCCCAAATAATTAAAGCAAAAATGGGATGCTAGCATGTGTTCTGTTTTTTGATGGGAAGCCAAAAGTGCTAGTTCTTGATCTTGGAGTTAAATTAAGCAAAGTTTAGGAATGAGATGTCATTGGTTTGCTTTAAATTGGAGATCACTTTTGACCAAATTTACAGAAGTCAAATTTCTTGAGCTAAATTAGTGAAATTAATCTCCTTATTTTTATTGCAGTTTCCTTCTACAATATTGAGATGAACTTCTCTGTCTTTGATGAAAAGCCAAAGATTCCTGTTACCAGTGTTATAAATGAATTTACAGAAAATTGGGTAAAATAATCTTTTGAATATTCGTGATACATACACTATATGTGAAGATAAATGACGAATATTGAGGAGATTAAAATTAAGCTTTACTTTTTTATACCAATAATCCATTTCACAGCTAATTAGTTTTGGCTCTTTGGCTGCAAATCTGTTTACTTTTTAAGCAACACCATGTGTAAGTATGCAATCTCTCTTTCCTGGTGCCAATGCTGAAAGATTTTATAGAATGTTGTTATTTTTATTTGTTTAGAACTGTACATTTCTCTCCACTGATACAAATTTGGAATCTTTGCCAAATTTTCCTAGCTGGGGAAAGTAGAGGAGCAATGATAACAAAGTCTATGCAATTGAATTTAAGTCTTCTTGCTTTCTGCACTTTAATTTTTTTCTCTCTCTAACACAATAAATGTTTTATTTATTCTTACATTTTTCTGATAATAAGACTATTATATACTCTCTGTAAAAAAAAGTCAGATATTGACACTAAAATCAATCAAGTAAATGTCCTGTCTAATACTGCTCCATGCATTAACTCTTTTTAATAGTTTAAGGTATATTCTTTTAGATTTTTTGTAAATGTATTATAACATTGATGCATGTGTATTCTTTTATAAAAAGATTGGAATTATACTAATTATGTCATTCTTCAACTTCAGTTATGCTTCCCCCCCACACTTACCCATATTTTTTTAGCATATTTATTCTATTAAATATAGATCATACACTTTGAAACATAAGATTCCATTACATGGTAGTAATATAGTGTTGTTGTTTCAATCCAGACATTCATGGAACATTTAGATTGTTTCTATTTTTTTCTCTATTTAGAAACATTGCTTAAAACAATCTTCTTGCAGTAAATTTTGGGGCACTTGAGTATTTCTATGGGATAAATTTCTAGAGTTGAAATCCACAGTTCAAAGGATATGAACATTTTACATTTGAATACCTATCACCACATGGCCTCCCAGACAGGAGGTATCAACTTGCATGCCCCCAACCAGTGAATGATCCTTGTTTTCCCTCTCTCCCTACTGACACTTATTTTCAAGTGAATATGATATAATTATAAGTGATTAAAAATGGTGAGTGTATTTGTCTACTGAGGCTGCCATAACAAGTGACCAAAGACTGGGGGGCTTAAACAACAGAAATTTATTTTTTTTTACAGTTCTAGAGGCTGGAAGTCCAATATTAAGGTGCTGCAGAGTTGGTTTCTGGTCAGGCCTCTCTTCTTTGACTTTGCTGGGATAAAATAGAGAGGTGGAATACTAAAACTGATTATTTTTTGTCTTGTACAGTTGAATTCCATATTTCAGGGCAGTGAATTTTCTCTTGCTAATGTGGCTATCCAAATTAAAAGCAGGTATGTGAATGACATCTACCGTGGGTCAAAGGGCGGCTGAGGGCATTTCGAGTTTGTTCCCTTGCAAAGGGGATTTCCTTTGTTTATGTCTGGAATTTAGAGGCTGCTGCATATTTAATTGCATCTTTCTGAGTATAGGTTCTTTTTGGAATAAAAAAAACCCTACTATTACTGCAGAGTATAAAAACAATGGGAGAAGAGAACAGAAGAAAATAAATAGGGGAAGAAGTGGAATTAGACTTAGTGACCTCTAATGCCCCTTTAATCTCTAAAATTCTGTGATTCTGTAACTTAGTACAAAAATCATGCCTTACAGGAATAAAATGCTAGGGATGGCCTATAGATGAGGACTTATAAGGCCTTTTATTTTTGGATGGTGCACTTTCAGAAAATTAGAAATTTTAAAGGGAATGTGAAATGTTTAAAATGAGAATGTCGACTAGTCCAAGACTTGCTTGGGGCACAAATTTTGAAAGGTGATTGTGGCGAAATGGCCAGCCACTGTGATTTTGATTTCTCTTGTATTTTCAAATATAATTAGGTTCAAGAAGGTTCATAACAATGAATGGAGGTTAATCCATGGTAGATTATTGTCTTGGTTACTTGGGGTTACTATAACAAAAATACCATAGACTGAATGGCTTAAACCACAGAAATTTATTTCTCATGGTTCTGCAGACTGGGAAGTCCAAGATCAAGGCACTGGCAGGTTCAGTATCTGCTAAAGGACCTCTTTTTGCTGTGTCCTCACACAGCAGAGAGCAGAGAGAGAAAAAGATCTTTTGTCTCTTCTTAAATGGGTACTAATCCCATTCACGAGATCTCCACCCTCGTGACCTAATTACTGCTCAAAGATCCCACCTCATAATACCACATATGCTTCAACATATGAATTTTGGGAGGACACAAGCATTCAGTTCGTAATGGTTATTCAAAGAAAGTTGGAAGCCAGGCTCAGTGGCTCAGCCTGTAATCCTGCGCTTTGGGAGGCTGAGGTGAGCGGATTGCCTGAGCCCGTGGGTTTGAGACCCGCCTGGGCAACTTGGCAAGACCTCATCTCTACAATAAATCAAAATATCAGCCGGGCGTTGTAGCACACGCCTGTAGTTCCAGCTACTTGGAAGGCTGAGGCAGAAGGATCGCCGGAGCCCAGCAGGTCGAGGCTGCGGTGGCCGGGAGCGGCCACTGCACTCCAGTCTGGGTGACAGAGTGAGACTCCAACTCAAAAAAAAAAAAAAAAAAGGGAATTGGAGATGTCTGAGATATGCAATATTCTTTTTTAAATTGTGTCTATTTGTTTTTCCTTATTACAAAAGTAATATGTGGCCATTATAAAATCTTAGAACTTCAATAAAATATGTAACAAGGATAGTGAAAAAAATCTCTAAAAACCTATCTCCAACCCCTCCGAAGAACTCCTGTTAATAGTGTATTTTAGCCGGTCTCGGTGGCTCAGCCTGTAATCCCGCGCCTTTGGGAGGCTGAGGTGAGTGGATTGCCTGAGCCTGCGGGTTCGAGACCCGCCTGGGCAGCGAGACCTCATCTCTACAAAAAAAAAAAAAAATCAGCCGGGCGTGGTAGCGCATGCCTGTAATTCTGGCTACTTGGAAAGCTGAGGCGGAAGGATCGCCGGAGCCCAGCAGGTCGAGGCTGCGGTGGCCGGGAGCGGCCACTGCACTCTAGTCTGGGTGACAGAGTGAGACTCCAACTCAAAAAACAAAACAAAACAAAACAAAAACAGTGTATTTTATATATTTCTTTAGATGTGTTTTCATGCATTTACTGAGAATGAGATCCTACTCTACATACTATTGTACAACTTTCCTTTTTGGCTTTATAAGACATCAGATATATCTTTTCAGGTCAATACACACAGATCTAACTTATTCATTTTAATAACTGTACAAAATTCTCTTACATAGTGTGCCATGATATATTTATTCAGTCATTTAGTGACGGACATTTGAGTAATTTCTATCCTTGTATGTACATTTTATGTACTCTTTTGGTATGATTATGGGATAGAGTCCTGGAAGCAGGACTAATAAGTCAAAGGCTTGTCACCATTTTGGTATGCAAATAATAGACAAGCTAATTTAAAGTGTCTCTTTGGAACCTTAGTACTATTTGAATTCCAGGCTAGGAAGACTCTACTATTCTGACTCAGAGTTGTCTTTCTTCTGATCTTGTGCCCTGTGTATTTGGTACTGCATTTCATTTTTCTGAAATTTTGTAATGCTTTTGATACAGAGACATTTTGGAGGAAGACATGACCATGGATCGAGCTATTGTAAGTCATTTCTCAAAACGAACCTGCTTGTGACCCATTTCATACTTGGTTAGATGGAAGTAAATAGCTCTTTTATCCAAGTTATATTATCAGGCAAGGTTCAGTTGTGACAATTGAGGGTCAAATTACATTACTTCCTTTGAGACTAGCACAAGACTCTATCAAGAAAACCATCCCCTGATTTTCTGATCTAGCCATGTGGCAGTTTTTTGAGACATATCTTAGTCTATGGGAGTGTGGAATGACTTGAAGACTGTAAATGGTAAGTATGATTTCTTGGATGTAGGCATCTTGCAAAAAAGCCTGGCTCTTCCAAGAGTGACATAATTCCCTACAAGATTGGCATTCACACAATACATCCACCCTCTATTTGTATAGATTTGAAGTCAGAGTGTGACAAAACGATTTCCCTTCATCTTTGCCTTAATTCTCAGTGCTTATTCCAGTGCCTCTTTACAATGGTACACTCTAAAATGATTAGCAAGCACACAGCTTTCAAGGTATTTAAGTAAAAGATCAATATTTTGACTATGCAAAATACTATCAAGTCTTCAGTGCCTTCCAAATTATCTGCCATCATTTGAAATACTTTCTGTAAATAGCTGAGTCCGAATTTTTAAATTTAACACATTGTAGATAACATGATATAACTAAAATCCCTCACAATAAATAGATGTAAAAGCTTTTGGGTGTTAATATGATCAAGCTGCCTGGGTTGAAACCTCTGCCTCTCCACTTCTCAACTATGAGAACTTGAGCAACTTAATTAGCCTCTCTGTGCCTCAGTTTCCTCATCTGCAAGATGAAGGCTGCTGGAAGGATAGAATGAGGTCATTTATGTTAAGTGTTTAGCACAGAACTTATAACATATTAAATGTTTGATAGTGTTTACAATTGTCACCACCAAATTCATATCCAGACCCAGAAGACTTAGATTCTATTCTCAGTTCTGTGATATCATTGTGTGATAGTGGCAGATTATTTGACTTTCCTGAGACTCAGCTTCCTCATCTGGAAAATGGGTCGACAATTCCTGCATTGCCCAACCTACAGGATTGGTGTGAGGACTAAATGCATTGATTTTTTTGAGGATCGTTTGCAGATGGCAAGACATAATTATAATTGTCGTTGTCAATAAGCTCTGTACTAGATTGTGACATTTGTTTAAAGAATTCAATGACTGTATATTTTTCTTTTGCATTAGTGGGAAAAGGGAGAAGGACAAGGAAAGGCTACAATTTCCCATGTACTATACAGGTAGGAACACAGTTTATTCATAGCTGGTACATTTAGTTCTGATCTTCCTTCCATTTAATTCCATATGTGCAGTCTGTTGGTCAGAGTTGTCAGAAGGAGATCAAAGTACCCGGTGGCTATTTCGCAGATGCTGTAATTGGGCTCTTGCCTTCATGAAATAAGTTGTTTCAGTTGGTCATGGCACAGCCTAGCAGCCTGCCTGCTGCTTCTTTGTAGTGAGGAGAAAATGGGGTCCAAAGTGGTAATTTGGGGATGAGGAAATAAAGTGCTTGTTGTGGTCAAAAAGGTCCACGAAACACTGAGCAGGGAAATTGAAAAAACAGCAGCAACAAGGAAAATAGCCTTGGTTCTGTTTAGACTTGTGGTCCAGTTCCTCCCGGAATGCTGGCTATTGTTAATCTGCTTGAGACACATTAGGAGGGACATATTGCCCAAGAAGGTTCAAGAAGAGGTCATTGAAATGGAGTAGAGGGTTCTATTGCAAGCAAGAGGAGAGGTTTAAAAAGAAGAGTCCTCTTTAGATTAGAAAAATGCAAGCTGAGAAGAGTAATAAGAGTAAGAATGGGTAAGATAAGCAAGAACTTCACCAAATATGAATGGGGGGAGAAGAGGGACAGGGAAGGCATCACGTAGATTGAACACAGGGAGAAATTTTGAGCAAGTGCAGGTACAGCTAACTTTCAATAGCTGGTAGGAAGCTCAGCAAATGTGTTCTTCAAAAAACTTCATCTACAAACGGAATTGGATAAAAAGGTATAGGTAAGTTTATGAATTTGAAATGTACTCCTTAATGGAATATTACAGGACTTTAGAATGTTTGAGGACCTCACTATGAAGGATGAGGTCAAGGACAGCCATATTCTTTTATAACCTACCTTCTAGTGGAAAGAAATACTCGGTAGGTCTTTGTGACCATGAGAAATGTCATCTCCCTAAGGCTCAGTTCCCTTATCTGTGGTATGGCAATAATAATAGCACTATCTCATGAGGTTGCTGTGAGAATAAAATGAGTCAAAACATATGGAGCCAGAACTCCACAAATGCTAGCTACTATCATTATCATTATTATTATTTTATTACAGAAATAGACATTCAGTGGAACACTTCTTTATAGACTAATTAAGCATGTGCCTATTTGCCTTACTGCAGTAATGATGGGTAAATTGGAGATCAGAAGAATAAAAGGTTTTTTCTGGAATAATAAATAATGAGTACTCCATCTTCTCTTTTAATTATTACAAACTCCTAGAGAAATCTCATGGCTAGTCAACTACAACATAATGCAAATGCTGTTGACTATTCTTTTGAAAACAGCTTTTGTGTTGTCTGTTTTGAATAAGAGAAGTTTATCAGAAGGTTTTGTATGCCGCCTGCCATCATATCTTAAGACGTGCTACTTAATAGCTGTAAAATGTTTGACATTTATGTACTACCAATTAAGTGAGTGGTACAGAATTTCAAGCACTGAAAGCCAAGTTGCCTCTGTTGACATAACTGCAACATCTTTATTTTTTGCTCTGTTTTTTTATAGCTGTGTTTGTCAGGTCATCATAAAGGCCAACTCTTCTTTAACACCCACTGAATTGATTAGCAGAATCAAAAGTAAAATACACAGAAACTTCACACATGGAAACTTCACACAAGATCAATTGACCTTAGTAGTAAAGACTGAACACATTGCAGTGAAAAAACTAGGTAAATTTTGGGGGAGGGGTGAGTTTTGGTATGAATTAGCTCTCTTTAATATCAAACTCATACCGCATACATGGTAAGAGATTCTGAGTTCAGAGAAACGAGGTATCGTCTTTATGTTCATTTGTACATTCCGAGTACCCACTTGACTTGATGACCTTTCTACCTTTAAGAGCCTATGAAAAAAATAGAGTGTTGCAGGGGTTATCAGAGACCATTCGTCACCTCTGGATATTAGCAGTGGCCAGTCCTTCAACAGAGTGGGCGGATTGTTTATCCTGCATAAATAACCAGAGATCTGAAGAGTTTCCTCATAACACACAATAGATGCCCAATAGATACTTGCTAACTTATTGATTGATTCAGTCATCTTATTCATCTTGGCAAGTGATTTGGGAACTGTTGCAGATTTCTCTTATGAACATTCGCTGATTAGCAAGGCTTTAATAGTAAAAGAGAAAGTCTTCCAGGCCACCCTACCTCCTTCTCACTGCAGCTTTGTTCCTTTTTCCCAATAGACTGTGGTAAAAATATTGAGCTCAGCTAGATAACACACATTCATATTACAGCAGTCCTTGGCAGCAACTAAGTAGCAGAAGACAGTCTGTGATTGCACAAGGAGGAGAGTAAGATGGAAGGTAGAGAAGAGTTGAAACCCCAGCAGAGCCCACCATGCAAATTACACCAATTCATGTGTCCTGAGAGTAAGAGGAAGGCACCTCTCACGCTCATTTGGAGAGGAGACTGGGATGCCTCAGCAAGCCTGATTGGGCCACTTCTTGGGCTACTTTGTCAAAATCTGAGGGAAAAGCCGGGCTCGGTGGCTCAGCCTGTAATCCCGCGCCTTTGGGAGGCTGAGGAGAGTGGATTGTCTGAACCCGCGGGTTCAAGACCCGCCTGGGCAGCAAGACCTCATCTCTACAATAAATCAAAAAATCAGCAGGGCGTAGTAGCACATGCCTGTAATTCCGGCTACTTGGAAGGCTGAGGTGGAAGGATCGCCGGAGCCCAGCTGGTCGAGGCTGCGGTGGCCGGGAGCGGCCACTGCACTCCAGTCTGGGCGACAGAGTGAGACTCCAACTCAAAAAAAAAAAAAAAAAAATCTGAGGGAAAGATTTCTGGAACCAGAGTCATGTACCCAATGGGTACCCAGTAAAACCTGGCAACTTATCACATAGATTTAGTCCAGGTCACATCTCCCTTATTGTGACAGCAAGACTTTGTCCTAGCAGCCCTTGGTGGAGGAGTTCGCTCTGTTCCTCAGCTCTAACATCAGAACCAATTCTCCCCTGTCTATATGGGTCATATCTGATACACCAAGTTTACCAAAACCAAACCCACCCCAGAGCCCATTAAAGAGGGAGGGACCATCCAGAGAGAGAAATCAGCCCGCAGTCTCCTGCCTTTACACATGAAACTGGTAACAATGCGTACCTCAGAAGTTGAGCAATTGGCAGGTAAGGATTTTTGACTCTACACCCCTTTGTGTGGCTTGATGTTTTTCAATGCGTATGTACTATTATTTAAAACAAAAAACAAAAACACTCCTGTCAACTGGTGATTTTAATGAAAAGGACTAAATGTGCAGCTATACAGGGTGGCTTATTTAAAAAACAAAACAAAAACAACAACAACAAAAAACTCCATTTGCCGCTATTTACAGTGAAGCTTGGTTTAAATGGCTTGGTAGAAAAAGTTTTCTCTTTTATATACTGATGTTTATGTGCAGGGTACTAATGATGGGTTGTAAATGGATGTTCATTTTACTTTTAAGTGCCTTTTGCCCTTTAAAATGTGCATACATTTTCTCTGCAGAGCCAGGAAAGTGCAAAGGCGATGAAACAGCCTCCAAATACAAAGGGACATATAAGTGGCTATTAACCAACCCCACTGAGACAGCCCAAGTTAAATGCATAAAAAATGAAGATGGAAACGCCACAAGAATCTGGTATGTGCAGGCCAAGTTCTAATTGCTAGTTCAGATACACAAAGATCTGCTTAATCGAAGACACGTTTCTATGTCATATGTCTGGGCATGCCCCCTCCCCCATCTCACTTGCCAGTTTTTTTTTCTTTCACTTTTTGGATCTATGTAAACACACACATGCAACATAATAAGAAAATATTCAAGAAGACAAAAAAGTTATCCATCAACTCAGAAAAAAAATTGAAAAGAGAAAAGAAGTCACCCATAATCCCATTGCCAGAGCACAGTTGTACTTTTTTCTAGCTTTTTTCTGTATGCCTTTAAGTTTTATGTAGTTGTAATAACTGCCCTCATATCAGTAATGTAATTTAATGGTTTATCAAACATTTTCCATGTTTTCCATTCCTTTTCTTAATGATCATTTTGAAAAACGACCTTGGAAACCGTCTAGCTAGTTGATGGGCCATAATAATTTACTAAATCATTCTTTTATTGTTGACTTTATCATTTTCCTTTTTCAAATCATCAGCCCTCTTTTTTTACTCTCTGCTGTTAATGCTGTATGCCATTAACTTAAGTGGGCAAGACCAGAGGGGCAGCAGGTTTTAACAGGGGCTTGAAAGCACTTTTTTGGAAAGCGACATCGAGACTGCATTTCACCTTTTCCTCCTGACATCAAATCAGTCAACAAGTCATGCAGATTTGAGAGTCACAGTCAGAGCCCACATCTAGTCTTTCTTTTCCAACCCCGCTACCACTACACTGGTGTAAGCCCTTTACCATCTTTTATCTCCTTGCCCGCTACCCCCAACTATATTCACACTGTTGCCAGCATAATTTTCCTGAAGTATGGCTACCATCATGCCACTGTCCTGCTCCAGCTCCTCGTTTGCCTCAATAATTAAGTCCTCTTAAATATAGTCCAAACTCCTAAATATAGTCCTCTAGACCATGGGCTTCCTTTCCTGCTATCTCACTCAACATTCTCCTTCCTTTTACCATGCACTCTAGTCAAAAAGACCGTTTGTTGTTCCGAACTCAGTGAGCACTTTCTGGTGTCTCCTTCTCTGTTTGTTCTGTTTGCTCTGCTTCGGATTGGGAGGGAGTGTCTTACTGAATCTCTATCCACACTCAGTTCAGTTCAAATGTTGAAAATAAGTTCTCCTTGCTTGGTGGTTTCATAGATTCAGTATTGTTTATACAACTTTCCATCTATATTTTGCTTAATTTTAGAGTAGTTACATTTAGAATTTTTTGTGTATGTGTGTGTTTTCTTTTTTTAAATTTTATTTTAAAGATGTGGGGTACAATTCAGGATTAAGTATACAAGTGATCATCATAGAGGTTATTTTCTTTGGTCCCCACTTTGCCTGGTTTGAGATCAGGTACCCTTACTGATGTTATGTGCTGCCCCCCCCGCCCCGTTCCCTGGCAGTTTCCAGCTACTGACAATTCTTTTTTTTTGAGCCAGCGTTTCACTGTTGCCCAGGCTGGAGTGCAATGGCACGCTTACAGCCACCACAGCCTCAACTTGTTGGGCTTAGGCAATCCTTCCACCTCTGCCTTCCAAGTAGCTGAAACTACAGGTGCGCACCACCACCTCCAGCTATTTTTGGGATTTATTGTAGAGACGAGGTCTTGCCAAGTTATCCAGGCTGGTCTTGAACTCCTGGGCTCAGGAAATCCTCTCGCCTCTGCCTTCCAGAGTGCTGAGATTACAGGTGTGAGCCACCGCATCCGGCATATTTAGAATCTTAAACCACTGTATACAAACTCCTCGAGGAAGGGACAAGCCCCTGCCCTGTTTGTCTGCACTATCTATTACCATTCCTAGAACAGAGTGTATACTCAACAAATGAGTTAGCTGGCTTGAAATAAACTAGGTTGAATTGGATGAGGCATGGGGACGGGCATGGATGATGAGAGGGCCAATGAGCTGCAGAAGGCTCTATACTAACCACTCTGGATAAATTAATATGTTGAGATAAATATTTCACTTCACCAGAAATTTCCCCTTGAAATAGGGGTAAGAAGGAAAAGTGAGGGTAAGAAATCATGTCTAGAGTCATCCCTGCCTTGACTCTTGGTCAGCTGGACATTCCCATGCTCGTTTCTGGTTCTTTTGCCTGCCTGTTTATACCCTGCCCCCTGCCCGCAAGTTGACCCTACATTCACTTTTTCTCTACAAGCAAAGTTTTCTTCACTTTACAAAGAAACACTGGGCTTCCGCCTTTGCTATCTCTGCTAGGAAGCTGGGGAAGGGCGAGAGGAAGGCATGCCAAAGATACACCCCTTCCTTTCCCATTTACTTTAAGAGTATCCTTGCCTCATCCTCCAATGAGAAAGCTCTCTCCTCTTTTTCAGTTTAATCAGCATCAACACAGGCAAGTCTCAGTGGGGAAAACCAAAGTTTAAACAATGCAAATTGCTTCAAGAACTTCCTGACAAGATTGTGGATCTTGCTAATATTACTATAAGTGATGGTAAGATTGTTCTGTACATATCAGAGAAATACTCAAACCTTAGTTAATTTGCCGACTTGACTTAAAATCAGAAAGAGTACAGACAAGTCTCATGTAGGAAAATCGTCCTTACAACAATCCAATTTTAGAAATTAGGCAGTTAATGTTGGTGGAAGTGGTTGTGGTAGGGCATGAGAAGTTAGGACTATCAGTGTTAAAATGTTTTCTGTTTTGTTTTTATAATTTTTTATTTTACAATTTGGGGCTAATTATAATTGTTTATCTTAATTTTTAAAATAGATAATACTTCACATTCAATATTCATAAAACAGTGAACTATCATAATACCGTGAAACATCTCCCTTCTACTGCTGACCCCAACCATTCAGTTACTATTCACAGATATATTTTATGTATCCATAATTAAATAGATATGCATATATGCTCTCCCTCCCTTTTGTACACAAAGTGTAACATGCTATGCACATTGTTCTGCACCTTGCTCTTTTCTCTTAACAGCATATTACAGAGATTAGTCTATCATTACATAAAGAGCTTTCTCATTCTTTTTTCCCCACTGCATTGCATCATACCACACAGATGTGCCACAATTTACTTATTTATCCTGTTTCCCACAGAAGGGTATTTAAGTTGTTAATAACATTTTGCTTTAACAATATCACTGTAAGGCAGGCTCGGTGGCTCAGCCTGTAATCCCGTGCCTTTGGGAGGCTGAGGTGAGTGGATTGCCTGAGCCCGCGGGTTCGAGACCCGCCTGGGCGGTGAGACCTCATCTCTACAATAAATCAAAAAATCAGCCGGGCGTGGTAGCGCATGCCTGTAATTCCGGCTACTCGGAAGGCTGAGGCGGAAGGATCGCCGGAGCCCAGCAGGTCGAGCTGAGGTGGCCGGGAGCGGCCACTGCACTCCAGACTGGGCGACAGAGTGAGACTCCAACTCAAAAAAAAAAAAAAAAACCCAAAAAAAGCAATATCACTGTAAAACTACTTTTATTTATTTGTGCTTCTTTCATTATAAGGAAAAATGGTATGATACATTTAAAAAACATTTTTATGGTATATAAGTTGTTTGAGAGCTGGCATTCTCTAAGCAACTGATATAAAAGATTGCATTTCTTTCAAAAAAATACATTCATAGACCATGTTAGCTTTTAGTTTGGTTCATGATATTTTATAGGCATATTTCATAGTATTAGGTAGAAAAGAGTCAAAATAATCTCTTTTTAAACAAACACTGCTGTAATGGATATCACACATGAGTCACAATTCTTCAAAAGTGGGTTATCCCTAAAGCATCAATTCCTGAAAGTAAAATGCTGGGTCAATCATACATTCTTGGGGGAGTCTAATTATGTTTGCTGTCTACTCACTCATAAATGACTATACAAATGGCAGACACTGGGAAACCATACTTTGAATGGTGTCAAAGTGTTCTCTATAATAGTCGCACCAATTTTCTACTCCCACTTGCAAGGTATGAAAGTGTCTGTTTAGAACACCTTCTTCAATAGAGCATATTGTTAGACTTTTATATCTTTGGTGATTTGATATGCAAGAAATGATATCTCAATGTAGTTTAAAACTTTTCAGTGGAGATATTCACATATCATAAAATTCACTCATTTAATGTGTACAATTCAGTGGATTTTTTATTACGTTCACTAGGATGTGCAAACATCATCACTAATTCTAGAACATTTTCATCATCCCTGTACCCTATAAAGAAACCTTGTATCCATGAGCAGTTTTTCCATTTCTCTGCCAATCCCTGATCATGGCAACCACTAATCTGCTTTTTGTCTCTATGAATTTGCCTATTCTGGACATTTCATAATGTTTTTGAGGTTCGTCCATGTAGTAAGTATCAGTACTTCATTCCTCTTTGTGGCTAAGTAATATTCCATTATATACATATACCACATTTTTCTTATTCACTCACCAATTGATGGACATTTGACTGTTTCCCACTCTTGTCTATTTTAATAAACCAGCTGTGAATATTTGTGTACAAATTCTTGTGTAGACATATGTCTTCAATTCTCCTGGGTACATATCAAAGAGTAGAATTGCTAGGTCATATAGTAACTCTATTATTAACTTTTCAAGGAGCTCTGAAACTGTTTTCCACAGCAGCTGCACCATTTTACCTCCCTGTCAACACTGTATGAAGGTTCCAATTTCTTTACATCCTAGTAAACACTTGTTATTGTCTGTCTTTTAGGTTATGGTTAGTAGTAATATCTTTATTCTTGATTTTAGTACTTTGTGTCTTTTCTCATTTTATCTTGGTCAGTCTAGCTAAAAGTTTTCAAATTTTGTTAATTTTTAATAGACTGTTTTAGAGCAGTTTAGATTCACAGCAAAATTGAGCAGAAAGTACGGAGAGTTCTCATATACACCCCCCCCAACCATATGCACAGACTCTCCAACTATCACCATCCCAGCACCAGAGTGATACATTTGTTATGATTGGTGAGCCTACATTGACATATCATGATCACCTAAAGTTTATAGGTTATCTTAGGGTTCACTCTTGATGTTGTACATTCTATGAGTTTGGACAAATGTATAATGAGATGTACCCACCATTGCAGTATCATTACAATGAATTTTTGCCACTGTAAAAATATTTTACATTCCTCCTATTCAGTCCGCCCTTTCTTCAACCTCTGGCAACCACTAAGCGCTTTACTGTCTTCATGGTTTTGCCTTTTCTGGAGTGTCATATAGTTGGAATCATACAGTAGCCTTTTTAGATTGGCTTCTTTCACTTAGTTACATGCATTAAAATTTCCTTCATGTTGTTTCATAACTTCACAGCTCATTTCCTTTTAGCACTGATTAATATTCTATTGTCTGAATGTGCACAGCTTATTTATTCATTTGCCTGCTGAAGGACATCTTAGTTTCTTCCAAGTTTTGACAAATATAAATACAACTACTATAAATATCCATGCGCAGGTTTTAATTTGGATGTAAGTTTTCAACTCATTTGGGTAAACAACAAAAAGTATTATTGCTGGATCGTATGGTAAGAGTATGTTTGGTTTTATAAGAAGCTTCCAAACTGCCTTCCAAGGTAGATGTACCACTTTGCATTCCCACCAGCAATGAATGAGAATTTCTATTGCTCCACATCCGCACCAGCATTTGGTATTTTCAGTGTTTTGGATTTGGGCAATTCTAATAAGTATGTAGTGATATCTCATTGTTGTTTTAATTTGTAATTCCCCGGTGACACGTGATATTGAATTGTTCACATGCTTACTTGCCATTTGTATGTCTTCTTTGTTGAGGTGTATGCTATAGATTGAATGTTTGTGTTGTAAACTCAATGTGATGAACATGGAACCTTTAGGAGATGATTAGGTCATGAGGGTGGAACCCTCATAAATGGAATTAGTGGTCATTTGCCCCCTTTACCATGTGAGTTTACAGCAAAAAAATGACTGCCTGTAAACCAGGACGTGGATCCTCAGCAGACATGAAATCTGTTTTCCTCACAGACAAATTGTCAGATGTGGCTTTACTACATAAAACGCACCCCTTCAATAATGAATCGTTAAAAATTGAGGGCACAGGCATTTCAGTACCTTGCAGAAACGCCAGGGAATTGGCCTTGAGGCAGTGAACTTTGCAGACTTGCTTTCGCCGCAGAAGTTGCAAGTTTAAGACCCTTACCAAGGAATATCTAGAAGAATTAGAAAAGCAAGCAGAGTTCTGATGGTTCCCAGATTTGAAACCATGAGTCAGGACAATAGGGAATGTTGTAGCATGAAATGAGTGGGCAGAATGATAGAGAAGTTCTATGTTTCACGCTGACCTCCCTCCTCCTGAGTGACACATTTTCTTTAGACATGCTAATAGAATTTTCTCTTGTGGAAGAAAAAGTTAACAAACAGTCATAACAACAACAAAAACACTGGATTGAGTTGAATTTTTTAGAAAATTGACTGTCAGAAGTCATTTCATACAAAAAAACTGTAGAGTAAGAAAACAGTTGGATGATGATTGTAATGTACGTAACTGAAAAGAAATTATCAAGTCTATTAGCTTTGAAGGAATATTTCCCTATTACTTGTAAGTTAGGAACTTAACAATGAGTACAATATAAAGGGAAGAAAAATGTATTCACGTTGAAGCAATTTTATTTTCTTCAGTTTCCAATCTTACTGGCAAGCATTAGATATCTTGGTTGAAGAAAAACTCTACAGTTTTCCCACTTAAATGCTCATTTTTCTTAACTCCTTAATATCAGAGTTAGAAAAGTTACCCTTGTTTCAAAGTTCTATTGGTTCTCTTCTGTGTTCAATTTGTGTTACCTCTATGATATTAAAGATGCATCAGACTAGAATGAAGCTTGCTAGAACTTTTCGTCAAACTGTCTCCTGTCTGTGTCCATTCCACCATCAGTGTAAGATAGTGAGTGATTAAGAAAAAAACAATGTACGGCCGGGCTCAGTGGCTCAGCCTATAATCCCAGCACTTTGGGAGGCTGAGGTGAGTGGATTGCCTGAGCCCGCGGGTTCGAGACCTGCCTGGGCGAGACCTCATCTCTACAATAAATCAAAAAATCAGCCAGGCGTGGTAGCATGCGCCTGTAGTTCCAGCCACTTGGAAGGCTGAGGCAGAAGGATCACCAGAGCCCAGCGGGTCGAAGTTGTGGTGGTGGAGAGTGGTCACTGCACTCCAGTCTGGGTGACAGAGTGAGACTCCAACTCAAAAAAACAAACAGAAAACAAAAAAACAATGTGATTCCCAGGAGGTCAGGTGGAAAGACTACAAAGCCCAGTTGTTCCAATGCCCACGTTGTGAAGAAAAGCGACAAAGTCACAGACAAAGTCATAAAAGTCATACTGAAGAACTCAAGCTTTAAAGTAAGAGCTGAGTTAGAATCTCTCAGTGTCTTAATTTCTTAATCTGTATAAAGGGAATAATATAAGTACCCCAATGAGTAATATGAGGGTTATCGTGATGAATAAATGAGAGAATGCATGCATAATGCCTTGCAGTTGTAGCTCGTATCCAAAATGCCCACCGACTCAAACTCTCCTTGTCAATCGGGAGTTAAATGAGGGATGGCTTGTGACTAACTGCGCAGCCCAGTAGAATTTGGCCATAGTGAGCCGGGCTTGGTGGCTCAGCCTGTAATCCCGTGCCCTTGGGAGGCTGAGGTGAGTGGATTGCCTGAGCCCGTGGGTTCGAGACCCGCCTGGGCAGGCTAGACCTCATCTCTACAATAAATCAAAAAATTAGCCGGGCGTGGTAGCGCGTGCCTGTAATTCCTACTTGGAAGGCTGAGGCGGAAGGATCGCCGGAGCCCAGCAGGTCGAGGCTGCGGTGGCTGGGAGCAGCCACTGCACTCCAGTCTGGGCGACAGAGTGAGACTCCAACTCAAAAAAAAAAAAAAAAAAAGAATTTGGTCATAGTATTACTGCCAATTATGGGACTAACTTTTAAGAGGACTGAAAGTTTTTGCATACTTTTTCTTGGTATACACTCATTTGCAATGCTTTTTCACAGAACCAGACACTGTGTATGAAGCCCAAGCTGTAGTGTGCTGGAAAATACCGGGGTTTCCAAAAAATGTATGCATATTTTAAGAGATGTTAAGAGATGTTTGCCATAATCAGAAGAGTCTGGATGCTGATGGTAACCACTTTTAGCATCTCTTGGCAATTGCAGACGTCAAATGTGACTCGTATTCATCTTTTGTTATTGGTATATATTGAGTATTACAATTTTAATAGTTTTTTTCCTTCTTAAAATGTGTATACATTTTTTGGCACCTGCTGTGTTTAGCAATCAGCTCTACCCTCAAAAACGTACTTACGTGTAGCATTTGCCAATATTTATTATGTGATACTACTCCTCCCATGGCTGACTACAAACTAGAATGTGTAGTCACTGAACTATGAAGTTGGTAAAAGATGCACACACGGATACAATAGATGTAAATAATTATAGGAACATAGATTAGTAAAATGTAGCGAAATAATTAGGAAGTGATGGGTGTTGAATATCACCATTCTTTTTAATATAATTTATTTAATTGTAAGTTTATATAATTTAATTTTGAATAATGGCTGTGTTTAACAACCAGCTGCATAATCAACACTTGTATACCTAACCCTGAAGTGTACCCCACAATATTAAAATAAAAAGAATAAAAAAATTAAGAAAGAAATTGCTCAGTAAATAACCTATTATTTTGATTCTTGAAATTACTAGCAGATTAATTGTAACAATATTTTAAGCAATGGGGGGGTCAATTTATTCTGTAACTAATACAAAACGATTCCTTTTATTGCCTTTGCTTGAGGACCTACATTTTTTACACAGTGAATGTAATTTATCCTGAATTTTCCTTAAAAACGATCTAACTCCAGATGAAAAGTCTATAATTACTTTCCACAGTATAGTTAGTCCCCCATTGGCCTGTTGTTTACTTTCATTCTGCCACAGCAGGGACTGCATGAAGTGAAATCGCACCACTGAAGTCCAACGAATCATGACTAGGAATCCCTGGCTATTCCATTTTCAGCAAAGCCTGAACAATCTAATTAGAGCAGAAGAAAGGTCTGTGAAAAGGTCGCTATCTTTTTCTTTTATCCCTAGTCTTAATGTTATCTCAACTTTTTTAATTTACCAGAAGATAAATGCTAACAGGGACAAAATATTAATTTAGAAACAATTACAACCTTGTTCAATCTCCTCCCTTCCTCCCATCTCCTCAGGGAGAACTCTGTCTTTGCTAGCTCAATTCCTGCGTGAGCCATTGTTGGGCAGATTGTGGTCATGGTTAAGGGGGAGATAGAGAAGACCTTAGTTGCAATTGCTTAATTTACATTGATGAGGACAGAGAGTTGCTTGCAGAAAAAAGCAGAATAAAGCAATAAAATGAGGGGGAAAGGGGAGAAAGAAAAAATAGCCGAAAAAAATAGCCCGTGAAGGCTTTTGGGGGGTTTAAGTAGTGCGGAGCTTGTGGTAGGAGAGAGATTTCAGGAGAGGCTGACAATTATAAAGCTCATCGAAGGAGAGGAAGGGAGGGAAGGGGAGATAGGAGAGAATGAATGAATGAATTTCATGCTAAATCATTTTGTTTCCCCAAAGAGAGTTGGTTATTTCAATACAACTTGGATTAACTGTATTATGAGTGCAATCTCTCTCTGGAATTTTTCTGAACAGATCGTATTTTTCAATTGTTTTTCTTTGTGTTTTAGTTACTGGACTTGAATGTGAGTGCTTTAAGCTAGGAAGACACCACAACAAAGTTCAGCCTTATATATGTTATATTGAAGTAAAATCTAATTTATGTTGTACTCGTTTAACACAGCGCTTAGCTTTAAAAGTGAGTGATAGGCTGGGCGCGGTGGCTCAAGCCTGTAATCCCAGCACTATGGGAGACTGAGGCAAGTGGATTGCCTGGACCCAGGGGTTCAAGATCAGCCTGGGCAACTTGATGAGACCTCGTCTCTACAATATATCAAAAACTTAGCAGGGTGTGGTAGCATGCACCTGTAGTTCTGGCAACTTGGAAGGCTGAGGAGGAAGGATTGCCTGAGTCCAGCTGGTCGACGCTGGGGTGGCCGTGAGCATCCCACTGCATTCCAGCCTGGGTGACAGAGTGAGACTCTGACTAAAAAAAAAGTGAGAGATGATTCAAAATACCCCAACTATTTTTAAAAACCACTTATGGGCGGGTTGTGGTGACTTGTGCTTGTAATATCAGCACTTTGGGAGGCCAAGTTAGGAGGATTGCTTGAACCCAGGAGTTTCAGATCAGCATAGGCAACATAGCAAGACCTCGTCTCCACAAAAAATCAAAAATTAGCGGGCATGGTGGTGTCCAAGCTACTCTGGAGGCTTAGGTGGAAGGATCACCTGAGCCCAGCAAGTCGAGACTGCAGTGGCCTTGAGCGTGCCACTGCACTCCAGCCTAGACAACAGAGTGAGACTCTGAATCAAAAAACAACAAAAAAAGCCGGGTTCGGTGGTTCAGCCTGTAATCCCTCGCCTTGGGAGGCTGAGGTGATGGATTGCCTGAGCCTGCGGGTTCGAGACCCTCCTGGGCAACTTGGCGAGACCTCATCTCTACAATAAATCAAAAAATTAGCCAGGCGTGGTAGCACGCGCCTGTAATTCCAGCTACTCTGAAGGCTGAGGCGGAAGCATCGCTGGAGCCCAGGAGGTCGAGGCTGCAGTGGCCGGGAGCGGCCACTGCACTCCAGTCTGGGTGACAGAGTGAGACTCCAACTCAAAAAAACAAAACAAAACAAAACAACAACAACAACAAAAAAACAACAGCAAAAAAAGCATTTATGATGCAATTAAGTATATTTGAACACTGACTGGATATTCGATGGTTTTGAATATTATTGTTAATTTTTAAATTTTATTTTATTTTAATTGGTATTATGGTTATGACAAAAGTCCTTTATTTTAGAGATACATACTAAAGTATTTATGGATGAAATTGTATGATGTCCAAGACTTTAAATTAATCTGGGGTTGGGGAAAAATGTGGGTGGTGATGTAGATAAAACAAGATTAGCTACTCACTGACACTTGTTGAAGTTGGATGATTCATGAGGAACATGGGGATTCATTATATTATTCTTTCTACTTTTGTGTTTGGTTGAGAATTTCCACAATAAAAAGTGAAGAACAAAGCGGGCAAGTTAGTATCTATTGTTCTTACCCTCTAGAAATTCTAAATTAATTGCTTTTTATTGTGATGCAGTCCATATTTGCTTTTTTCCCTGTGGATTGATGGTTCTTGACAGGAAAATGTAACCACCGCCCTTAATTCTGACAACATAGACTGAGTGTTTACTGATATTTGAGTATAGGTGGAATCTAATTAACTCAATCTGATACTCAATCTGATACTCAAAAGTCTTAACTTAGAGTCAAATTTCAAGATCATTTTTCAGTGACTAAAAGATTTCCCTGGTGCATTTGAAGAAAGGATTTAATGAATAAAAACTTTTTAAAGGAATAAAAACTTGACTTATGTGCTATTTTCTGGGACTACAGATATTGTAGAAACAAAGGGTCAACATTTCCCTTCTGTAAAAGTTGTTACGTTGGTATGTATTTCTGTTTCATTGTCTTTACTCTTTAAAAAGAAGGAAATTGACCAGCATGGCACAAAACTAAACAATGAAGCTTTTATGGTTCAATTTTGTTTCCCCAGAGAATGCAGATGATGTTGCAGAGCACATTTTAAATTTGATAAATGAATCCCCACCTCTGGATAAAGAAGAGACAAAAATTATTGTTTCTAAAGTATCCGATATTTCACAATGTGATGAGATAAGTATGAACCTAACCCAGATTATATTACAAATAATCAACAATGTTTTGAAAAAGCAAAATGACTCAGCCTCTGATCTGCATGAAGTAAGCAATCAGTAAGTAATAATACTTTGGTTAAAAAAATTATTTTGTAAAATTTAAAATACACTCAGTCCACTGTATCTGTGGGTTCTGAATTTGTGAATTCAACCAACTGTGAGTTGAAAATATTTCTAAATATAAAACCGTGTCTTTACTGAACAAGCACAGACTTTTTTCTTGTCATTATTCCCTAAACAATATATAATAACAAGTATTTATATAGCATTTACATTGTATTGGGTATTTTAAGTAATCTGGAGATGATTTAAAGTATACAGGAGGATGTGCATAGGTTATATGCAAATATTATCCCATTTTATATCAGGACTTGAGCATCCACGGATTTTGGTTACTGCAAGGCTTCTGGACCAACCCCCCATAGATATCAAGGGACAACTGTATATATTATTAATTTCTTAGCATACGGTCATGAATGATCTTAAAGTTTAGGTAGTTACACATTGAAAACTCAGTATAATGCAATGAGGTCATTTTATTCAAATTCTAACGGTGAAATAATGCATTCAAATTCTAATTGAATCTTAATTTTAATTTTTTTCTGTTTAAGAGATGGAGTCTTATTATTTTGCTTAGGCTGGTCCTGAATTCCTGGCCTCAAGAGATACTCCCACCTCAGTCTCCCAAAGTACTGGGATTACAGGCATGAGTCACCATGACTGGCACCTCTTTTCAAATAAATAGTTACCCCAAACCAACCCCCAATCTGTTTCCCCAAACTTTGTGCTCCCCCAGTGTTCTGAATTTCTGTTAAATGCATCCAACTAGTGCTAAAGCGAAAAACTTGAGAATAGTACTAGTTACCTCCCTTTAACTCACAGTCAATAACCAACTCTTGTAGGAGACACTGTACATCCATTTTATAAAGTCCTTTAAATATTCCAGTTGAATCCATCTGCTTCTCTTCATCTCCACCACGACAACCACCCTAGTCCTAACCCCATTTCTCTCATGTGATTGTCTACAATAATCTTTTAACTAGTATCTCTGCCTCTGCTTTTGGTCTTCTGTGGGTCATCTACACAGCAGCCAGAGTGATCTTTTAATGCATATATCAGATCATGTCATTTTATTGCTTTTTTTTTTTTTTTTTTTTTTGAGTTGGAGTCTCACTCTGTCGCCCAGACTGGAGTGCAGTGGCTGCTCCCAGCCACCACAGCCTCAACCTTCTGGAGTCCGGCTATCCTTCCGCCTCAGCCTTCCAAGTAGCCAGAACTACAGGCTCGCGCTACCACACCCGGCTAGTTTTTGATTTATTGTAGAGATGAGGGCTCGCCAAGTTGCCCAGGCGGGTCTCGAACCCGCGGGCTCAGGCAATCCACTCACCTCAGCCTCCCAAAACGCGGGATTACAGGCTGAGCCACCGAGCCTGGCTCATTTTATTGCTTTTAAAACCATTCAGTGACTTTCCATTAAATGTAGAATAAAATCCAGACTTCTAATAAGAGCCTTCAAGGCTCTGAAAGGTCCGGCTTTCCATACAATAATTTCACTTAATTTTCAACACAATCTTTTGAGAAGAGTGCAATATTACCTTTGACTTTGCAGGTGAGGAAACTGAAGTCCAGTGAGATTATTTTACTTGACTACACAGTTAGAGATTACAGGAGCTAACATTTAGATCTCAGCCTGTGTGATTCCAAAGGCAGTGCTCTTACCTAATAACTCCCAAACGATCCAATGATAGTGTCTAAAACTCAAGGAAAAGTCTTACAATGCGAGAAGTCTTGTAAGGATAATGAGTTTTCACTTTCAAAGGTAGAACTGTTCTTCTCCATCTGCGGTTTCTTGCAGAATTCTGAGGATAATTGAGCGTGCTGGTCACAAGATGGAGTTTTTTGGGAAGACAGCAAATCTGACAGTGGCCAAGCTGGCTTTGGCTGTGGTGCGAGTAGATCACATGTTTGAAGGCATGGCCTTCAGCATTTGCTCTTATGAAGAGGGCACAGACCCTGAGGTGAGTGCAGCTCAGTGAATTGAGAGCCAATCTGCCAAGAACTGTTTCAAGTCTTCATTCATTTACTCCTTGGTGGGGGAAGAGCTAGCACTCGTTTAAGGTTTTAATCTTCACAGGATTTGATGAAAGTACAAATGCCTCAAGGAAGATACATATAAAATCCTTAGTAGGCTGACACCTTGGTTGAAATGGTATTTGTGAGATGTGCAATGATACACCTTTGGCCCTGTGACCCCAAATAATCTCAAGTATCATTTATTATTGACTAACATTTATGGAGCACTTATTATATGTTGGGCATTGTATTACTGCCTCCTTGGTTCAGATAAGGAAACAGAGAAGTTAAGTAATTTGCCCAAGGACACACAGCCTAATGGTTAAGCCAGGATTGGAACCTATGTCAGGCTAACTTTAAAGTCTGGGCCCTTTCCACCATACCATGCTACCTTAGCCTTTGGCAGACCATAGGCCACCAACTCTGCTCAAAACAATTTGGGTGACCACATTTTTTACAGTTAAAAATTCATTTACATTTGGGAAAATGCACAAATCCTAACTATATATTCTCTGAATTTTGACAAATGTATACATCTTGTAACCCAAACCTCTATTAAGAAAAAGAACAAACCCTGAATTGTACCACACATCTCTATAATAAAAAAAATATTAAAAAAAGAGAAAAAGAACATAGCATCACCTATGGAAACCCCCTCATGCCCTTGATAAGTCAATCCCTGAAGCTACTGTCTCCTATGGGAACCACTGTTCTGATTTTTTTTTAACCATAGTTTTTCCTGTTCTAGAACTTTATATTAACGGAATCATATAATACATACTCTCTTGCATAAGGTGTTTTTTTTTTTTTTTTGAGCCGTGGTCTCACTTTTACCCAGGCTGGAGTGCAGTGGCATGCTCAAGGCCACTGCAGTCTCTACTTGCAGGGTTCTGGTGATCCTTCTGCCTCAGCCTTCCAAGTAACTGGAACTACAGGTATGCACCACCATGCCCAGTTATTTATTTATTTATTTATTTATTTGATTTATTGTAGAGATGAGGTCTTGCAAAGTTGCTCAGGCTGGTCTCGAACCCATGGGCTCAGGCAATCCTCTCACCTCGGCCTCCCAAAGTGCTGGAATTATAGGCATGAGCCACTGCACCCAGCCCACGACTTCTTTTATATAGCATAATAGATTTTTTTTGGAATTCATCCTTTTGTTTTTGTAGTTTGTTCTCTTTTATTGTTGAATAATATTCCATTGAATGTTCCACTGGATGAATATATCACAAGACTATTTTTCTCTTCTCCTGTTGATGGACATTTGAGTTGTTTTCAATGTTTGGCTATTATGAATAAGCTGCTATGAACCTTCATGTATGAGTCTTTGCATGGAAATATGTTTTTGTATATCTTGGATAAATACCTAGAAATGGAATTGCTGGCTTATAGGGTACATGTTTAAGTGTATAAAACACTATCATACTGTTTTCTAGAGTGGTTGATGGTGTGGAATAATTTTTCATGTTTGTATTGGCCATTTGTATATCTTCTTTGGTGAAGTATTTGTTAAAATATTTTGCCCATTTTTAAGTTGAATAGTTTGTCTTATTATTGAGTTGTAAGTGTTCTTTACACATTGTAGATACAAGACATTTATCAGATATATGTTTTTGAAAATGTTTTCTTTGTGGCTTTCTGATTCATTTTTTCAGGGTGACTTGATGAGCAGAAGTTTTTAACTTTCATAAGGTCTAATTTATAGTTTTTTAAAATAAGTAACCATATATGACTTGTCTAAGATACCTTTGTCTACCAACAAGTCATGAAGATATTCTCCTATGCTTTCCTTTTAAGAGCTTTATGGTTTTATCCTTTCTTGATTGATTGATTGTAGAAGTGAGGTCTCACTATGTTGTCCAGGCTAGTCTCAAATTCCTGGGCTCAACTGATCCTACTTCCTTGGCCTCACAAAGTGCTGTCCGGGATTGCCAGCATAAGCCACTGTGCCCAGCCAGTTTTAACCTTTTTGTTTAGGACTATAATCACTACTAATTGAATAAATGTTTATGTGTGGTATGAGGTAGGGGGAGTTGAGAATCATTTTATTCCATATAAATATTCACTTTTTCCAGTACAATTTATTGAAAAGACTTTCTCTTCCCCCATTGGCTTGCTTTAGTATCTTTGACAAAATATCAAATAGTTGTGTCAGTGTGGATCTATTTTTTGGCTGTCTAGTCTGTTCTGTTGACTTTCTGTAGACTCTTATGTCACTACCACACTGTCTTGGATCCTACAGTGTTGAAATTAGGTAGTATAAGTCCTTCAATGTTGTTGTTTTTCAAGATTGTTTTGGCCATTTGCAAGTCTGTATAAATTTTTGAATCTGCTTATGAATATGTACAAAAAAAACCTTGCTGAGGATGATCGAGATTGAGTTAAAGCTCTTGATAAATTTGGGGAGAAACTGTTTTTTTTAGCAATATTGAGTCTTGTAATCTGGGAGTACTTATTTAATTTTATTTATATTTCTTTCAGCAATATTTTGTAGTTTAAGTAAAGAAGTATTGCATGTCTTTGATAAATTTATTCCTAAGTATTGTATGTTTTTTGATGCTGTTGCAAATGGAATAGTTTTAAAATTTGATTTCCAGTTCTTTGTGCTAGCATATAAAAATACAATTGATTATATATAAAATCTATAAGATATGATTTATATTATACTATATACTCTATGCATACATTTTGTGTCCTATGCACTTGCTAATTTCACTTCTTGGTTCTAGTAGTTGTTTTAGAGATTCCTTAGGTCTTTCTATGTAAGCCAGCATCATCTGACAATAGAAAGTATTGTGTCTTCCTTACTGATCTTTATTCTTTTTATTCCTTTCTGTAGGCCTTATTCTGATGTCTAATACTTCCACTAAGATGTTGACTAGAAGTGGTTGTTTTGTTCTTGATATTAGAATAAAAGTTTTCACAATTTTATCGTTACTGTGATGTTAGCCATGTTTTTGTTTCATTTCCTTAGATGTCCTTTATTTAATTGAGGTAGTTATCTTCTATTCCTAGTTTACTAAAAATATGTATCATAAATGGTTGTTGAATTTTGTCAAAAGCTTTTTCTGTATCTCTAAGTAATAATTTGGCTTTCTTCTTTATTCTCTTAATATGATGAGTTACATTGATTTTAAAATATTAAACCAATTTTGCATTCCTGGAAGAAACTGTACTGGTTATGATGAATGATCATTTTTATATATTGCTATTTTTAATGTGCTCATATTTTGTTAAGTATTTTGTCATGATTTTCATGAAAGATATTGGTCTGAAATTTTGTTTTTTTGTGTGGTTTCTTTGTCAGGCTTCAGATTAAGGTTTTACCAACATTATTAAAGTGAGTTGGGAAATGTCCCTTCTCCTTTCAGAAAGAGTTTGTGTAATATTGCTGTTGCTTCATTAAATGTTTGATAGTGTTTGCTAGGAGAACTTCTGGGTCTGAAATTTCTTTGTGAGGAATCTTTTGATGGCAAATTCCATTTATTTAATGGATATTGGGTCATTCCAATTTTCTGATTCATCTTGTATCAGTTTTGGTTAGTCGTATTTTCCTCAGAATTTATTTTATCTAACATGTCAAGCTTGTTGACAATAGTTTATAATATTTTCTTATTATTTTTTAACATCCATAGGATTTATAGTAGGAATCAGAAGTAAAGGGCAGATAATAAATATTTTAGGCTTTGCAAGCCACAGGTGGTCTCTGAATGTTCTTATGCTTTTGTTTTTGTTCTCCTCTCCTCTACCCCTTCCTCCCCCTTCTTTTCCCCTCTTCTCCCTTTGCTTCCCTCTTTGCCTATCCTTTTAAAAATGAGATGGCTGTATGTTGTACAACCTTCACTGCCATCTGTTTTCAGAACTTTGTTCAACTTCTCAAAGTAAAACTCTGTACCCATTGGATAACAACTCCCTGTCTTTTCCTCCCCTATCCCCTAACAGCTACAATTTTTTTTCTGTCTTCCTGGATTTGACTATTCTAGGTACCTCATATAAATGGAATTATATAGTATTTGTCCTCTGTGACTGGCTATTTTCATTTACAAAATGTTGTCATGTTTCATCCATGTTATAATATGCTAGAATTTGCTTCCTTTTAAAAGTTGAATAATATTCCATCGTATGTATATACTGCATTTCATTCATCCATCCATACAGGGGTTCTTTTTGAAGTGATGAAAATGTTCTAAAATTGATCGTGGTGATGGTTGCACAATTCTGAATGTGCTCAAGGCCAGTGAAATATACACTTTAATTGGGTGAATTGCATGGTATGTGAATTAAGTCTCAGTAAAGTTGTTAGCAAAAGAAATAAAAATACATAATAAACCAAAAAAATGAAATGTAAAATATATTCTTAGTTTGGGACAATATAAAAACAGCCCTTGGGTAGGATTTAGCCTGCTGCTTAGTTTGTCAACCTCTGACTTATAGTAATAAACCCTCTTTCATTTCTGATGCAGATAGTTTATTTTCTTGCTACTGTATTTTTTTCTTTATAACCAGAGATTTTTCAATTTTGTTGATACTTTCCAACAACCAACTTTTGGCCTTGTTAATTTTCCCTATTGCTTGTTTTCACTTTGTTGCTGTCTGTTTATTCTTTCCTTCCTTGTGCTTACTGTGGGCTTACTTTGCTTTTCCTTACTAGCTTTTTAATGTTGATCCATAGGCCATTGATTTTATTTTTCCTTTTTTAATTTTTATTAAAAAAAATTTTTTTTTTTTGAGTTGGAGTCTCACTCTGTTGCCCAGACTGGAATGCAGTGGCTGCTCCCGGCCACCGCAGCCTCGACCTGCTGGGTTCCAGTGATCCTTCCACCTCAGCCTTCCGAGTAGCTAGAATTACAGGCGCGCGCTACCACGCCCGGCTGATTTTTTTATTTTATTGTAGAGATGAGGTCTCGCCTGCCCAGGCGGGTCACGAACCCGCGGGCTCAGGCAA